TCTTTTTTTTTTTTTTTTTTTTTAATAATTTTAAGTTAATACCGAGAAAATCCAATACATTAACTTGTTTCCATTCAAAATTTTAACGAAATACTAGTTATCTTCCTTTTCACTTCATTATGTGCCATATTGATTTGGCAATAAATTTAAATATACATTTAAAAGGGATGTGTATATACACTGATTTTAACTCAATTATCATTTTTTTTTAAGTGGAAAATACATGAAAATGGATTTGATTATTACCGTAGAATTTGAATTTTCCTTTCTTCCATTCAAGAAATGTATGAATGAATTCGTAGCAGAAATATTTCCATCTTCATCATCCTTCTGTGATTTCCCTTAATTACAACTATTAAATTTGGTTTGAATCAACTTTCAACGTTTTTTTTTCTTTTTTTATAGAATTGGTTTACAACGATTTAAAAACTCATATCGTGACGACGACACAATTAGAGCATTTGAAGCTTTCGGAAAAGTATGTAAATTTCCAAAAAGTTCTCCACTAATTAATAAATTAGTAGTGACGAGAAAGTTGACAAAACTTATTTTACCTTACAAGGTTATCTTATAAAAGTGGGATTTTATCTTTATCCTGATTACTATACAATAAGCATTTTTATTGTATTTTTAACTGATAAGACTAATTCCTTCATTCTATTTCTTTTTTTAAAAAAGAAAAAATCCTTTGATATCCAATTTATTCTATCTTTTCAAGTCTCTAAACAAGAGTTTAAGGATTATTTATGATGCAAAAATTACTAATATTCCTGCTATAGCATTATTTCTCTGAGTGATTTGATACAAAAAAAAAATAATTTTTTTTTATTTTTGAACGATTCGAAAAAAAGGAAACTATGCTAATTTTTATTTCAAACAATGTAATATTCATTCAGAAAATTATATGAAAAAACCTACTAAAAGTAACTTTTTAATGAATATTTCAATTACAGTAGTTTTGCAGGGCGTAAAAATGAAAATTGATGATGTGGGTAATATTTGGCTTAAATGCATCGAAGGAAGTGTATTTGTTACTGGAATATTAGGCGAGATTATTGTTAGGAATGATCCAATCAAGGTGAGAGCTAAAGTTTTTCATAGAATTATCAAAATTTGATAAGAATTATTCGATGTGAAGGTATAACGTTGAAAATTATAACATATAAGGTTCACGTGATATGTTCTATCATTTGATCAGAATGGCGCAGAAGTGTTGCAAATTTATCCAAAATAATGTCGTAACTTTTTGTTAATGCAGTAAAAGAGTTTGGGAAATATAAATCTATGCATAATTATCAATTCATAACAATGAAATTTTAGATTTTTGATTTGAAACTTCTCAAAGAATTCGTTTCACGACATAAAGACTTCGATGAAACTGTACGAGATCGATACAGTCGGATGGCAATCACTTATGCACACGTTTGATATAGTTTCATTAGCATTTGTATAATTTTTGATCCAATTTAATTACTTGGCAAATGTATAGCAATATCTATATTCCAGGTTGCATTCTGGAATCATATAAGTGTTATGATGATTTCTCATTTGCATAATTTTCAGCTGCTATGATGTTGCAAATCATATAATATGAAATTATTTTCAGGTTGATAAGCCAACAGATCCTCTATCATCAGCTTTATGGTTTGCTATAATACATCTAACAGCGTTAGAAATGATCCAGATTTTGCTTCCCGGTAATTCAGGTATATTTTAGGAAACCTATGAGAAACCTTCCCTGTTCCTTGGTACCAGTAAGTGAAAACAGTTGATAGTTGCATCAATAGAAAAGCAGTATAATCTAGGAAACATTTGAGACAGATTCTCTTCAGTTTTCTGAAACTCAAATTGCAGCTTCAAACACACCATCACCATCGGCAAGTACTGATCTTCACAGTATAAATCATTCTGATGGCTATTCACAGTCCAGCAGCGCGGATATAAACTGCAACGGACGCACCATTTCATCGACCAGTTCCGGCTCCTCTTCTTATTATTCCGGAATCACTTCTGCTTATTGGAATCGACAGTTGAGGTAAATCATTTTTCAAGGATTCACCAAAACTTTGATTCATTAGAAAACATTAAACAATGAATTTAGCATCATTCACTGAAGCTATAATTTGTGTCAGTTTTAGATCACGTGGTGGTGCTTATAAAAAAATTAATCGTGAACCAAACATACATTTGTCATCAAGGAATACTACAAATCCTGAACAGGAAGTTTGGCTTTGTTTCATTTTCTCTGAAATTCAATCTTGCAAATTTAACCGATATGAATAGAACTGTTATAACTTGAGGAGTACTACCGCGTAAGTTTTGACATGCTAAACGAATTTAAAAGTTATGTCATTCATCTTAAATAGTTGACTGATTTGAAAGTTCTCCATTTAGTATTATTAATCGTTGAATTGATCTTTCACAAAAATTTGTTCCAATATTCCGCATGGAATTTTGTGAGGATTATTTGACTTTTTGTTCATTTTGAAAAAATTCCTAGTTTTCAAATCTCAATTTATAGCAACGAAAAGAAAAAGGTCGAAGTCTTCTTAACCTAAATGACTTGGATCGATTACATTACCCGGCATGTTTCCGGAAAGAACGAGAAAATCGTGGTGGTCCAGGACATAAACGATTAAATCATTCCACACAGCAAGTGTCAGCTTCTCCTTTAACATCTTACTGCTCGCAAAATATGAGCTGGCGTTCACGAAGTGAAACATCTCTATACTGTGAAAGACTTTAAGGATGAAAACAACGTTTACCTCTTCACTTTTGTGCCAAGTAGCAATTGGTAAAAAAGAAATGTAAGCTATTTGGTCCTTTTTAAAACATACCCCATTTCATAAAAATATTAAATCAGTACCTTAGTTAATATTTAAAGCAATAATCCACACCATCTTCAGTATTACAAATGAATGACAATCTTTTAAGTCATTAGGCAACATTTGAAAGAAAACTTCGAGAACAATCCTTCTCGATTTCATAAAACGAATTTGAAATGCAGGAAATGCCCAAGTTCTTCCTATTTTCCAATATTCACAATTCACAAAATTCAGTTGTGAAAATCCAAAATTTCAAAATCCCAAACTTCAAATTAACTTACAACCAACAGCTTTTTTAAGTCTCGGTGCTGATTTCATTAGGAGCAGAAACACAAACTGCTATGGAAAACTGATTTAATTGTTTAATGGCTTACTTCCCCGCACATCATAACTATGTATTATGGCATGGTTGCGTTTTTTTTTTGCAGTAAAAATGCTTCAGTCATTCCTATTTTGATTTTTATTTTATCTTAACTTTATACAAATATTTGTTTTTCTATCTAACATCCCAAAATATTACAGCGAAGTGAACTTTTCAACATATCAATAATATAAGTTACGAGGGGGAAATAAAAACAAAATGACTAGGACAGATCAACTGATGAAATAAACGCAAAGGATGATGAAATAAACGATGTTGATGAAATAAACTAAAGTACGAATATATACTGACTGCCCTAGTACAACTCCTGATATCAACCAACAAACTTGTATACGAAAATTCGATGTTTCATTTTGAGATGAATACTTTAAGCAAAGTGTTCAAATATCAAAAAGTTAACTATAGTTCAGATCTAAATAATGTCTTCTAAAAGATTCTGAGCCAAAGTTTGAATCTGGCAAAGAAATTTTTTTAAAAGGAAATATTTTTTTTTTACAAATCTCACAACCTTCAACAATCATAATGCTAAGTTTAAGAAAAAAGATTTCATTTTCTCAGTGCGGTAAATAAATCCACAGGTATAAAATGTTGGGTAAAGTGCGGTAAATAAATCCACAGGTATAAAATGTTGGGTAAAGTGCGGTAAATAAATCCACAGGTATAAAATGTTGGGTATGCTCGAAATTTTCCGAAATTTTAAAGGTTTCCAAGAAAATAAGGACGAAGGAAAGAATCTCTCATCATTTCTGGTATGACTCTCCCGTTTGCGTCCTGCTCGGAACATATCACAGCTCATGTAAAATAAAACTTGGTAACAAAAATTCCCAAATCGACAAAGCTATCATAATTTATCTGAAGAATTAATCTAGTTTGATTCATATAACTACAAATCAATTACTATATAAAACTTTACCAGAAAAAAACGCAGTAGGAACTTAATGATCACTAATCTTTCTTCATCCGAGTTGTTACCACGCGATAAATAATTGAATCTTTGCCCGGATCCATGTTCCACAAACCAACAGCTACGAAGAGGATGGCTAATGTAAGTGCAACACTTACAAGCAGAAATATTCCAAACATAGCTGGATAACTAGTTGATGCAAACTGGAAATATATGAAAAACCGATATAAGTGAAATTCAAAAATATAAATCATCGAAATATTTTATCAAAAAATGTCATCATCTCTAACATTGAATATCAAATCTTTGAAATAATTTAAAATAACATATTCCATATGATACCACGCAGTAGTGAAAAAATTCTGATACTGAAGAACTTACACTACAATTAAATAAAACTAGGTATTCTTCGTTATACATTAATCCGTATGATAAATTACTAACTATCCAATAAAGAAATTTTAGGAAATATAAATAAGTATGAAATGAAATGCGTAATTTCTTACATCTCCTAACTAATCTTCACGGGTGGTCAAATCTATTTCACATTAGCTAGACTTGAACAAATAAAAAATAAAAGCAACGAAAAAAAAAAGAAAAAAAACGACTACTTCAGCTAGGATATTCTTTAAAAAACAGATGTAAACAAAAACCTGGTAAACATTTAGGTCTTTCCTTAATTTCATTATCCGATCAGCACTACTTTCAGGATTCTGAAAACAAATAGGCCGGTCAGAACCATAAATTAGCAGTAATATTTCTTATCCCTTAGCCCATAATGATCAGCAGATGAATGACGTATGATGTCGTTTATAAAGTAGTAACGAGTTTAATGCTCATTAAGCTGCCGTGCCTGGTGCATTATTGTCGGTAACATCATACGAAGTTACTAAGTTTTTCTCTCACAAATTATTAAATTCAACTTGCAAAAACCAATAGTTGGACAGAAAAACGAAAGATGGAGTGTGTTCTTCCACTCAGTTTCTACGCCTCTTCCCTTTTGCAGCAGACTAAGTCCTAGAAGTGCACAGCCAGGTTTCACGGTCGAAAGATTAGTAAAACGTTGCTTGCTATTACTGATCAAGTATAGAGAAGAATTATATTTCTGTATTCATGGAAATTTCCACCTGTTATGCTATGCGCAAGGAAAAAATATAAAAGTACCCCTTCCTTCTATTGCATTAAAGTTGATCACAATATAAAAAAAATAAATATAAGAAAATCATGAAGATTCGAAACAGACCAAATCCTATTTAGAAATATTCAGATTCCATGACAAATGTTTTACCTCTCTTTTCTGCCTCTTTCTGATTTCAGATATCGACTCCGTAATGAGTTCCGCAATCACGCGATCATTATATATATTCGTCAGCACAGAAATTAAATGCCGAATTGCATTTTCCACCTCGTTAATAGCTAGTTTATATTCATCCTCGGATAATTCTTGCTCAGCGATTGGCAAACCGTTCACATCGATAATGAAAATTGTTGGGGTTTTTCTAGTACGAACAATTTTCGATTTACTTATCTAAAAATAAAAAAGAAGTGCAAATACGTAAGAAATACTTTTCGAAATATATAAAAACTTTTCTTGTAAAAACCTTCCAGACTTTAAGAAATATAAAAACTTTTCGATCTACTTATCTGGAAAATGTAAGAACTACAAAGTTTTTCAGATAAAATATTAAGCAAAATTTTGGGACTAATTAAATCTGTATCGAGAATACGTTATCAGCAGTAAAAACTTAGTCTTATCTTATCTTACGCCACCTATCACTTGGTAAACATGACTCATTGTCACAAGCAAATATCAAAATACCTTAGATCTAAATCATTAGAAAAATTACTTCTCATAGATTGATAATATTATTGTTCACATTAAAAATGTTTTATTTCTTTATGAATATGAAGTGCTAAGGATAACAATCTCTGCTATTTTACCGATTCAGCAATTTTATAAAGATTTTCAATTTCCTGCCGTAGTGGCTCGCTTTTCGTCTTGATTTCAATTTTTGAGAAAGCATTCTGAGCATCAGAAGCAATCTGTGAACCTTCCAGTCCTGCATTACGCATCAGGATCCATTCCTGCCCTTCATCACCAAATATTTCATTGTTAACCATTTCCTCATGGTTGAAATCTTCGCCTTCTGTCGATATAGCATATCCAGATGATAACGGAATGTTCAGAGCTTTGCCATCAATGACAGTAACTAAAAGTGGATAAATTTGTTCGAATCCAATCTATAAAAAAAACTACCTTCAAACGTAAACTACCTTCCGAGTAACTCGACCATTTCAGACTGTGAAATTTTTTCATATGAAAAACACCAACCCAATGCTAATGCTCGTGGTCTTCTGAAAATATCTCCATCACTTGTCCATGTAAGAGGAGTTGCAGCCGTCAGTCCCAGCATGTATTTGTTGGCTTGCACAACGTCGGTTTTAGATAAAAAAGTTGTTGTGGGATCCGGAAGTTCAACTGGTTTAGAAGCTAAGAAATGCAACTCAGCACACAGCGACCCTGAAAAAAAAATTGCCTGGAATACGGATAAAAGTGGTTTTTACAGAGATATAAACCAAAGTGATAGAAAACACAGACAGATTTCGACATCAAAAGGAAATATAATTACCTTGCACTAAATGATACAGCATCGCTAAAACCGTATGGATGTAAGCCATACTCATTGACCTGAAACCCATTTTTTTAATGCTTGCAGTCCGTTGAAGCAATGAAAAGAATCAAAAAATCGGCGAGAAATACATCAAATTATACATGCAGTACATCGAAAATATATCACAAATGCTTGTGCCATTGAAAAAGTCTTTCCCGGCAGCTTAAGAAACCGAACGCATATGAAAGCAATAAACAAATTTATTTTTTATTTGCGCAGATAAATGACAGTAAAACAATCTATAGCCTATTCATCACCAAATTCCTCGTTGCACACCGGATAACTGACCATGATCAGCAAGGCGCCTGGAATATCAGTAAATTATTTCCAAAATTATTTCCAAAATTTTTTTTTCCAAAATGTTTTTATTTTTTTATTTTTTATTTCCAAAATGTCCAATCACTGTACTACAACTTCACGGATACAGTTACGATATCGGTCACCCAAATATTCTGCTAATTCTGTCATTAATTGTATTATTATTTCGCTATAAACCGACTCTTAATTTATGGCGAAAACACTTCATAGTCATAAAAATGAAAATCCAACTTTTTTATATGAAAGAAAATATATAAAATAAACGTTCCACATATTAGAATTAAAATAAAATTGTTAAGGAAATGAAAATGTTTATACAACTGCTTATACAATGTATGAAATAAATACCTAAAAATCTGTCGATGAAGATGAAATCTATTCAGTTTACCACGCCGCGCACCACTAAACTGACACAAATGTTGAACAAGATTTGGGCAAGATCCTTTGGGGAAACTGTGCAACTTTTTGGCACATTCATCTCTAATCAGTTCCGGTAATATAGTATTACATTTCAGAGCCTTCAACCTGACACGATCTGGGCCAAGCTCAGCAAGCAGATGTCGCCTTTTGACATCTCTTTTCATCCGCCATGTCGACCAGAACGTCATCCTGTTACCATCTTTCCACCATTCACGTTCCACGTAGTATGGATATTTGTCCAACCTGTTTAAAATTAAAATCTATACGTTGTAATTATTTGTTTAACCAAATTAAGCCTTCTCATTTAGTAACTAAAGAAATGTAGTTGAAGTCACTTCCATTTTGAATCTATCCCCTTAGATAAATCTCTCGGACCAATACAACTGATGCAAAATTTCATCTCAGTAAAGTCCTTACGATAACTATTGAGACTAGTGAGGTAAAAACTTTGTGCAGTTCGGTCACACTTTAGCGACTTGCCAAATTTTACTTCAGTGTTTTCAATGCTTTTTGACTGTAAGGTAAGATAGGTCGTTCCTTGTTAACGGCGTCCATAACTACACTCGGAAGTTCATTATCAGCCGAACTTTCGTTACCATCCACTACAGATGGGATTGTTTTAACGGTATCAGTTGAGTTGGAGCTCATCAAACGGCTCGTGGAAGTATTTACTAGATGCCATGATGTATTCAACCTTGATAGCAGAGATGAAAATAGTCGCAAAGAATGCATCAACTGGAACCTACAAATACTCACAAATTAATTAAGTGATAGAGTTTGCAAACAAAAACAAAAAAAATCAGTGGAGTTCTAATACATGATTGCAATTTTTTAACAAAGATTGGAAGTTTTCAGCAAGAATTCACAACTCATCGAATTTGAATGATCTAATTGTATATTCACTTGAGTGAATACTTTTGAGTCTGTTTGTATCATGGAACATGTGTAATAACCATATTACTTAGGGAAATTCGTATATTAATAGATCCGAATTTCCGATCCTGGGAATTAGAGTGTCGTTATGGAAAGAAAAAATTCCATCCAATTCATTCTAGATTTGGAGAAAACACATCTCCTAAACGTGATACTGTGACATGGGAAATATTATTCACACAAAAAAAGCATACAAAACTTCAGCTTACTCTTTCATTGTTGGAAAAAGAAAAATATTTTCTTCAGGAAATAACCTAAGAAAGATATCATAAATTTTGTATGCATCATTTTATTTCAATAAGGCACGACCACACTGTATACTCGTAATCAGAATAACGACCATTCATGAAAGTACTGCAATATTAAGCAAACAAATTCTGAACTTGTCTTTAAAAAAAAACGAAAAAAAAGAAAAAAAAAACAGAAACAGAGGCAACTACCAAAGGTCGAAATGTTTTGGACAACAGAGAGAAATATGAAATTCTATGAAATGAATTCATTGTCTAATTAGAAACCAACAAATTACTGTCAGTGGTCTATAAACGACTCGGTTTCAAGTACTATGCTTTTTATGAATACTTTTTTCTCCTAAAAATGTTAATATTACTCCATTATTTTAGTACAAAAACTCAACATCAAGAAAGTATATAGCTGGTCTAATATCTACTCATGAAAATGAAAATATTCGCAGATTCACTAAATACAGCATTCCTTGCCATATTTTACTTAGGTAGGTAACAGTGGTTTAAATGGCCGTCTAATAATTGTATGCATATACATTAGAACATATAAAAAGTGAAAACAGGAAATGCACACCAACTATGGAAAACAAGAATACTATCTACAGAAACCGAACATTATATATGGCAATTCTGTGAAAATACATGATTGGAAAGTTATGTTTACTTATTCAGGGATCAGATGAATCTATCCTGAATATAGTGACAGTCTAATATAAGCGACTGGACAATGTTTCACCCAATTTGCGGAAGATCGAGAACATTCTTCCTAGGTCAGTACTGGTGCTGGCTGATTAAGGAAAATAAACACATACAGTGAAGCATAAATAATTAAACACTTGTTATAAAAACCCAGGATGAAGATTAAAAATGCATCAATGACCAGGTAAGAAGGATGAAACTGAACAATATTCGAACTCAAACCTAAATCAAGATTTTTAGAGAACTAATCAGTGGGGAAAAAATTGGACGAGCCAGCTTTGATCCTTGTACGGTTCACGAAAATACGAATTGAACCATTCAGATCCGCTGAAATGATGACATCGCCGTGAATTTGCCGATCTGATATATTTTTGCTAATTTTCGACTGTTCACTCCTGTCATCACCGCTGCGTCGTTGTTCCAGAAGGTTTAAAAACAGCTGTGGACGAGGTGCAAATATTGCCACCGTTACACACGCTGAGTGACCTAAGATTTCACCAATAATAATTACTCGTTAGCTATGTTAATAAATACATCATGAAAGCTTAGATAATTTTATGACCTCTAGAACCCAACAGAACCTATTTTGTTACCACATGGAATGTCTAGGATGCGTGCTTGCTTGTGAAGCAAATGGAGATGTGAGAGTTTACTAAAACAACTACAATTCAAAACAAAAGACATATAAATGAGTACAAAAAAAATTGCAATTGTAAAAAATTGCAATTTACAAAAAAATTGCAATTGTAAAAAATTGCAATTTACAAAAAAATTGCAATTGTAAAAAATTGCAATTTACAAAAAAATTGCAATTGCAAATTACATGTTGCATTCAACATCATTCATAGAACTTACTTGCATTTGTATTTTCTCTTAAAATGCTATTCAGTGAAAATGAACTGTTGTAAATCAGACATAGTACAGTAAGCACCTCTGGACAGTAAGTACCAAGCAATTAAAACTGTACTATCTTAATATAGCAGTCTGATGTTGCATTTAGAATTTATTTATATGTACAAATAAAAATTGCAAAACAAAGAATTTCAATTATTCTACAACAGTTCTTAATAATCAGCATAAAAAAAAATTCTCAAACATTTAACCTCGCAAACGTTGCCAAGAATCATTGCGATCTTTGCGGACAGCTAATGAGGATGGTAAATCAGCAGTTGTCCAAATATAAATAAAACGATCTTCACTTCCACAAACAATATGTTTACCATCAGGTGATAAAGAAGCTCGGATCTGACTTCTTTCATTCTGAGCACCCTGCAATGAAAAATTAAAAATTTATAGGGAAAAAGACAAAAAGCAAGGAAATAATAGCTTTACTTAAATTTAAATGTACCTTAAATTTGCAAGTAAGGGCCATATCTCGCAGATCATACATGCGAATACGTGAATCATTCGAAGTGACTAATAATTTATCTCCATGCACGGCTAGGCCTGTTACCTGAAAAGACTAGTAGTGGATACTTAAGTAAGGAAAATATGTGATAAGTGTTAAATTTAACTTATTTACTTTCATAAAACTTGAAGGGAATACTGAAAATATTTGAAAAACTAATTACTTTATGTCCTCTGGCATTTTTTCCTCGACTTGACCTGACATCAATGACAGTGTGATATTTGAGTTGATCAGTTGTATAGAAAAAACAACGACCATCATATGTACCTACTACCGCAAATTTCCCATTTTTGGCGAATGCGATAGCTGTTATAAATTTCACTTGTTCCACCTCGTTCCATAAAGCAACTTTCTTGTCCGGTATATGCCATAGGCGAAGTTTGCCATCCAATGATCCAGAAAGGAAATAGCGGTCATCCTACAAAAAAAAAAGGAAAAAACTACTAATATGTGAGAGGATGATAATTTTCAACAAATATCATTTTATGGTGTCTTTAAAAAATTGCAAAAATTTCGTAGATTTATTAATAATATTCCAAAGCGATACAAAAACAGAAATTTGAACCTTTGGCATGAAGGCAATGCATGTAACAAAATCCATATGCTGAAAACAACAAAGACATTCTGGACGGGAAAGATGCCAAAGTTTAACAGTACGATCCATTCCAGAAGACAGAATAAAGTAATTACGAGACCATGACAAATCCAATACGTCAGCAGTATGACTTCTATATGTACATAATGGTTTTGATGCCATTAAAGCAGTCGTTAGGGAATTACTTTCATCATCGTGTGATGTGGATGACCCGACGCTTTCGCCAAGCTGAAAGACCTTTCAGGAATCAGATGAAGCAGTATTTTCAAGCAAGCAATAAAATCCAACAGCAATAAATTTACTACCGAATTTACAAGCTGCGATGGCCAAATTAAGAACAAAGAAAAGCTGTTTTTCTTGTCATAGGAATTGCTCACAAAACCTTCTATATCAGCGCCTAATCCTAATTTTTTTCCTCAATATTTTTACCTAAGATCTCATAGAAGAACCTCATCCCGTCCCAGATGCTGCAAAATCTTGTAAAATAAAGCATGAAATTTTAAAGCTCATAAGGGAAAACAAAGAAAAAACAATTCCTTCATAAAAAAAAAGTTCCGTAAATATTCTTGAGCTCCACGAAGCCGGAAGAACTGTAACTTGAAGGTTACAAGTTATTAGCACGAAAATCCAATATTCACAGTAGGCAGCATCAGTGATGCTGATCATCCACTGGTCAAAAATATGTTGTACTTTAGTCTTTAAAATAGCCATCTAATACGTTAAGTTCTACAATCAATCAATATTATTTGTTCATGGACCGTTGAAAGATTTACCGTAGTAGAGGAAGAACGTAAATCATTTTCAATATCTTGCATCGGGTTTTGTAACACATTTTCGCTCCCAGTCATTGAAATTTTCTTAGAATGTGAATTGTAACGGTCACGTAAGGCATTGAAATATGACAAATGATTGCGCAGCACCCAAACCCGTATTATACTATCTTGACCAGCCGTAGCCAACAGGCGCCCGCATAACGAAAATTTCATGCACCATATAGCACCCTGAATTTGACAGATTATCAATAGACAACCCACTTCTCGCTAAAAACAATAATCCTTCTTAAAATTTATTAGTCCTTATACAATTTAATGATCCATATTATTTGGGATTTCTTGATTTCGTGACAGAATGTACAGAATTGGACAAAGAGGGCAAAAAAAATAATCCTTCATTCATTATAAATATCAAATAAATTCCATTCTTGAATAAACTTCAAATATGGATTACTTCACGACCAGATCTAAATATTCTAAATAACTGAAAATAATTTGAACTAATCAGAACAATACCGACTATAAAGATGGAACAGAAAATACTTAATAGATTCCTCTCTTCGTTAAAAAATATATCGTAACAGAATCTATTTGGATGAATGAAAAATCAACCGTATGCTCGTTATTTAGCTCTTGGTAGCAACGTGTGCCATCAAAATCAAATGGTCCTTTTTTCGAATTTCTTGGACGTACAATAGGAGTACCCTCAGCTATGGAAGAATCTTCACGATCACTTTCATTACAACTTTCATCGTCTTCTTTAGAGAACTTTGATGTTGAGCTCAAATAAGAACGGTTTAAAATAAAAATACTATAACAAAGTACTGCACAATATATTATGTAATACTTTAAGCAAACCAATTACCTTGAAGACACGACATTTTTTGCCCGTAAAAAAGCACCACGAAATAGCTCAGATGCAACCGTTCCATATCCTTTAACGAATCCTGCTGCACGACCGAAACTGCTTGATGATGGAATTGTAAGTGAAGAAGGACCATCTTCCAATCTACAATCAAAAGAATTCTCGCCTAACAATCATCATAAGCTCTGGAAGATTCCCTGCCGAACAATCACCATAAGTTTCTAAGCAAAATTTAGTTTCTAAGTATTTCTGTTCTCGCCATCACAAATTTGAAATAAAAAAACCAACTCTCCAGAAGTCTGCTGATGTCCTTTCATGCTCATACGTCTTTCCACATCTCGAGTTATTGGATCTGAATATTCAGTTTGAGCATTTTGCGTGGTACAATTGTCCTTCACGGAAACTGGCTCCGGTGATGGTTTCGAATGATCCGTAACCGCAAGATCTTTTAACGATGAATCTGAATCCTATAACAAATGCACATCCCAGAAAAATTCTGTCATTCATTTCACATAAATGGAAGGGGATATATACTTGCATTTAGAATGGAAATTAGTAACTGATTTCTTTCGGAAGTTGCAAACACTGCAAAAAGATAAATAAGAGCATGAACCATTCTTGAGTGACTTGTAGATTTTGGAATCGTAATTTGCAATTTATATAATTTGTCCTGAGAAGCATCATCTGCTACTTTGCCATCGTTTAAAACTGATCTTTTCGGGGAGGAAGTAGAAATTGAAGAGTTAGTAGAAAATTCTTCGCCAACTGATGATAAACGACCGCTTGGTATGCCACGCACGGGTGATTCCAACGCTAACACTTCTTCTCTGAAGTGACCGAGATGGATTACTTCAGAAGGATCATTTGTTAAACTGGTTAAATTTTAATTCGAGCGAGAGTTCAATGTAAAAAAGTGCTCAAATTTATTTGATAAAGTTATTAAAGCAAATACGAGCACAGAAGTCCCACAAAATCATAAAGCTATGCGTTTGATGAATCATACTCGGTGGAATCAATGAAAACTATTTGTTCGTTCGCATCAACAGATTATTGTCGTGGGCCTCTGATCTGCATAACGAGACACATCAAGAGTATGCTTCTTGCAAACTTCCAGCAATTTTACTAACATGCTGGGTGAATCCGTAAAAATAGCATCAGGATAACCACAGATTAGAGATCTCTTCGATAAGGAATAATAGTTACATCTATGATGGTTATAGTAATAACATTTAACAAATCAACTTACTTTAAAGGCTCATTAAGTATTGAAGAGGTGATTTGATGAATAACGCCCTGTGCATCGCTATTTCTTAGATCTTCTTCTCCTCCATCAAACGACAAGTAGGGTGAACTGCACGGAGAATCAGCAAAATACTCCCGTTTCAAGGAATTACTTTTATCACTACGTGGTGGAAATGGACCCGATTTCATGCTTTTTGCCAAACTCAATCCACGATCCAATGAATTTGTTTTTGCATGTCCACGTAATCGGGCAAAACCATCAACCAAAGAAATAGCGTCCTTCTTCAACGGTTTTTCTGGCTTGACACTATAAATCTTTGCCCCAAATTAACTTCAACCCAGCTAAATCAGGTTTTTGAAAAAAAATTTCACAGTTAAGATTCAGGTTTGACAGCGTTTGAAAATTGCACCCTATAACTAACGTTTGAATCACCATACAACGCTTACAAACAAAAAACGTTCAAAGTCTGAAGAAAAGAGCCAATTAAGTGTTTCAAATGTTTTACAGAACTATAGCTGGAAAATGAAATGAAATAAGCATACGTATGAAATGATAAATGGCTTGCGTCAGTCTTCGATTCCTCTACTTCTTTCGTTGGTGATATCCTAGATAATTTTCCAAAACCATCATTTTGAAATGAAACATGAGGAAATCAGAGAGTTTGCTTGAAGATAAGACAAAAGTAAAACAAGGTCTAAAAAATGTGAAAATACCCAGAACATACCCTTTTCCAATAAGCGAATCCACCTGCTGAGGTGAAAGGGCATTAGGAAGTCTTCCGCACGGCTTTCTTGGTGGTAATGGCGGAGGAATACTATGAGGAGGTGGGAGCTTTACACCAAAAGCAGTATTATCGCACGATGTCTGAGATATTGGAGAACAAGAACGTGGTGCTGATTTTACATTCTGCAATCCACTGTTGTTATCGAAATTAATGTTCTGTGAGAACGAGTCTGTTCCGCTGAAAATTATTTCACCAAACTTTCAACACCGTACTCCACTACGATTAGATTAGAAACCTTCCAAAAAAGAGAAGATGAAATGTTACTTCTTGATCCCACAAGCTTCAATTCTATGTAAAAAGGTAAAATAAAAGCAAAATACGACTGTTCCCTATCTATTTCATAGGGGAACCTTACCTGCTTAGATTCTGATAGCTGGAAAAAGCCTTCGTACTAATTGTATCAGCTGGATACACCAACTTCATCTTTGTATATGGAGCTTGTATAAGTAGATTACGTCCCCAGGATGCCAAAGACGCACTTTCGCTCGCTGAACCGGCATCATCATCAGTGTAGCCAACACCACCAGTGTTCAGCAACGTATGTCCTGACCCAAATTCATTTGTCATTCGATTCCGTAAAGCATCTAAACGGTACCGACGATCCGCTGCTATACCATCCTGGAAAAATGAAAGGATACAAAGCAAGAAAGCAGAAATAGTAATGAATGGTATAATTGACGAATTAAAATTTGGGACATAATCTTATCAAAAAGGAAAAAAGAATCAAATGAAGTCTTGTTACACGCAAATATGTGGGGAATCATTTCTTTTTTTACGTTTTTGGTTACTGAATCAACGTAGGCAAAAATTTTACATATGCCTATTTGCGTATGAAGAATTCTTTTAGCTAACGAAAAAAACGCCCATGCACAAGAAGTAAAAATCGTGGCGCATGTATTTTATATACCTTATTGATTTAGCTACTTAAACGTCAGAATAAAAAATTTGGTTATATAATGACAATTTTTTTTACTTTTAACGATGGGGAAGTGGGCGAAGTTGAGATATTTCCAGACTGAGATGATAGTGACAGTTGTTTGCTGATCGCCGTATCATTTATTTCACTTCCGATCGGTAAGGCATCACGTCGTGAAATATGATTACTGCCACGTCCTGTACCAATTACCAATGTGGAACGTTCGGGAAGTGGTCGTAACTCGTCTTGAGCATCTTCAAATTCCTCACTGTTTGTTGTAGACGATGCCGCGTTTTCCTCCACTTCCGCAAATGACATTCATATACTTTAGTGGAAGATATTTGTTGTAATCGATGAACAATTATTGTCAGCCACTCATCAATGAACCTGTCTAAATAAACTCTGAAGTTCAGCAAACTTTAGTGAAAATCAGTGCCGCGTGAAACATTGCGGTATGATATTTCCCTGTAAGTTTTACGACATACATCGTACTCCGTGTCATAATTTGTAATCAACTTGCACCTTGCTAATTTAATATTTATGATTAAATTCTGGTCTCATACAAGTTAATGTAGTTCAAAAAGCAACTGAATGCTCTTTCCGGAATTCTTCCCTCCATGCCAAGCATTACCATCAACAAACTAAATGTGGTAAACAAGAAATACGAAAGACGCACCGAATGACATCAAAAACAAACACAGGTATGAAAACCCTTCGTCTCACCTGCTCATGGCTTTATTTTTACCTTTGCTCGTAAAAGTTACCCGTAATGTTTTGTCTATTTTCCTGGCACCACCTTCTTATCATTCTCTATAGATTAATTTTTTTTAAACTATGGAAGTACCTGACGGATTTCAAACTAAATCTGGATTGCAACAAAGATGGAAAACATGGGGAGGTAAACATGTTGAATGATAATGATGATCGTAATATCGTGTGAAGTGCTCGCGTCGAGGTGACAATTTTGTGAAAATGCCTGCAACTCGTCAAATTTGCAAAAACATCTCAAATTTGAAACCTCCCCTATCCTTCCTCTTTTCATCTAACTCTTTTGGTATTAGCAATCACTGTTAGGAAATGTTGCAAATTTCGGGCTCCAAGTTTCCAAAAAGTTTCAAAAAAACCAGGTCCTGGCAGTTCATTCCTCAACAGTGGAGAGGCTACGTATGGAAGAAATGATACTTTTGTGTAGGTAGACAAAAGATCAATTTATGGTCTTCGGCTTCATGCACAGCGATATCGAAAAGTGCACCAGCATCGTGAAATGGAATGAGATAAAACTTCGACTCGATACTTCACTCTACATATTTTCTTCTATACGTAAATTTAAAGACTTCATTTCAGGTTTTTTTTTTCGATTACTCCACTAAATCCCTAAAGCTTTTTTTAGTGTCCATCAAAGTGTTATATTGGGAATTGCGTTTCTCAGTTGTTAGTAAAATCGCATTCTTTTCCAAACTCATCACATTACGGCATATTCCAATCTACATTGCAATATCTCGTGCTCAACATTAACTAAACGCAAGAAAAGTGTTAAGTGATATACTTTTCGAAGTAGAAAATCCAATACGAAAAAAAATTTTCGAGGGAAAAAATAATTAGAGTTGAAATTCGAATATTAAACTCGTTTGAAATAAGAGCTTATAAAGAAGATGTTCTACTAAAAAATACCAAAAATATTGCTATTTCAATATTTACATGGATGGATGAAAGACAAACTAATAATTACAGCCAACTGTCTCTGATTTATTGAATGAATATGGAAAGAGAAGTCCGCTTATATGTTTTCATGCAATATATGGAAATTGCAAGCCCGAAAACAACCAAAACATGCCATATCCAGCTATGACATAAAATCGATGCGCAAACAGAGAAATATTTCCGTATTATGCTCAAATATCTTGAGGGATTCATTCAGTAGTAAATAAAATCACTGAAATCCTCATAAGGTGTATTTTTGAATTACGGCATCCGTGAACTCTAGCGTTGATGAACAACCGCCAAGATCGCGAGTTTTTGTTTTGCCTTCGGCAATCACAGCTTCAGTGGCTGATCGGAGAGCAGCACCGTACTTTTGCAATCGCAAATGTTGTAACAAATCCGCACAGCACAAAATCATTGCAGTTGGATTTGCGATTTGTCTGAAAAAAGCAGTAGATCACCGATATCGATGAAAGTAACTTAGGAATATGTATAAATCGAGCTGGAATCGAGTAAAAAACCCAAAGAATATAAAAACAATAATTATTAAAAATAAAACTCGTACAAATATTTCGAAAGAAAACTACCATTGTTTTACAGAGAATAACGAACTCGGAAAGTTTATCATTATAACACACTTTCCAAATGCTTGCTGGTAGGCATGACGGGCACCTGGTTCGAAAATGACTGCATCCGGCCCAATTGAGCGTCCCGCAACAACTCCAGCACCTCCAACTAAACCAGCTCCCAAATTACCAACGATATTACCGTAGAGATTGGGCGTAACCATCACGTCAAACTGCTCAGGTCGAGATACTAGCTGCATACAGCAATTATCGATAATCATTGATTCAAATTTGATATTTGGATATAATTTTGAGACCTGAAACAAATCATTATCAATGTTGATGTTAAAATATAAGCACAACATTTCATGTTCTATAAGTACTTAAATAATTAAGTTCATGCAAAATTAACACCAAAGCCGACAATTCTACTCGAAAGTTGCAACAAACCGATGAATTACTCTGAGACTTAAATAATATGCTTTCAAACTATTGCGAAGAAAAAAAGTTCGAGTTCTGAGAGAATAAAGAACTGATTCTGACAACATGTTTGCAGTTCACATGGTAAACTTAACTGTAGTGTTCAATTCTTTTTTGTGTTAATTCCATGGAATAAGAAAATGCATATTTGAAGTCACAGCCCTTTACAAAGCAAATTAAGTTTAAAAAGTTAATAAACTAACTTCTTCACAAACTCTCAAGAACAGTCCGTCACCCAATTTCATAATATTTGCTTTATGAACAGCCGTGACTTTGTGTCGACCAAATTTCGTAGCATAATCAAAGGCAAATTTCGCTATCCGATGCGATTTCTCTTCTGTGGAAATTTTGAGACATTCAACAACACCAGGTACCAGTTCATGTTCCAGCGATGAATATTCGCCCTCTGTCTGCTCGCGAATAATAATAAAGTCCAGATTTTTTTGATGTCGTGTTCTGATCCCATTTAAACTCTGAAATTCAAAAACGCATAATAATGCAAAAGATTAAAACTTGAAATTGAAATTTGAATTAACTCAGACCGAAACCAGAAAGATACGACGATTCGAAAAAGGGAATTGCATAAGTTTTGTATTGCTCTTGTCAATAAGCGAAGTAAAGTATTAAAAAGATTAATTATGGCATCAATTATTAGATAATGCGGCAACTGAATAGGAGCAGTGTGAATGCATTACGGGAACTGTGAGTTGATATTAATTGTAATGAACCTCATGAACGATATTTGCAATAACTAGCAACTAAGATACCAATATAGTGAAATTCAAACAACTTTCAAAACTAAAACTAAAATATAACGTTTCAGATGAAATATTTGAAATGTATACTAACTTTAATATTTGAAACACTGGCAAAAAGGTCAAGACCTTTTTTCAACGCTCGATTGATATCTTCTTTGTCCGAGTTGCCAGCTGTTGTTTCTGCTTCCTTAATTGCACCTTTCAGTGCTACGTTATTATTTTTCTTGACGACTTTAATGACATCTTCAAGGCTTGCCGAACGTGCATGTTGAACCTCACTGCATAAAAAGAATATATGTTTAAAATGAACATATGCCAAACGATGTCCATCACTATTTAAAATTGGTTTCCTACTACTGCTATTCCTGCATATCTACAATGCTTATGCATAAGCTTCCTAGAAGGGATGCAGGCACTATCCTTTAACTATCCGGCTTAATTTAATTATGTTATTAAATAACTGCCAGTTATAACCATTCCATTGGCAGATTAACAAATGCCTTTTAGTTAATCAGAACTATTGAGGATATTCCGATACATCCAGTTAGTTTTGTTTAATTCGCTAACAAATAATTAAAATTAGTTAAAACTGGTGTAAAGTCTATCAACATTAATTTTACTGACTTTTCAAACAATTTAAATGAAAGGTAACCTCAAGAAAATTTCTTCAAACTCTAATGGTATTCCTGTGCTTTGTACGATTTGCTGCACTGCATGACTAAGTTCTAAACCAACGCCATCACCTGGTATCACCGTTACTTTCATCTTTCGTTGCGCTTGAACTGCACTACTCTGAAAGGGAACTCGAATAAATACGTTATAACAACAAATAAATAAATAAATAAAGATGGGGAATAAGTATAAGCCTAAGACTTTTCTTTTTTACTACATTCTCAGGTCTTTAACTTTACATTGAAGGACTACACCCTTCTCAACTCCTCTTCAATAGTAAAGCTATAACTTATAAAGATTAGTGAGTAAAATAAAAGTTAGAAAATGGTAAAATAGGATGTGAAGAGCAAACTACTAAAAATGAGTAAAAAGAATGTAAATGGAGGTGTTAAAGGTAAGGTAAGAAATCTGTGGCTAAACTATTCGATGCAGCATAACGGCGAAAATTGATAGGCGTAGAAAGACAAGAATGAGGGAGGGAATGAACAATTTTTTCAAATTAAATGGATGAATAGTCCAACCACAGTAAGAAAACAAAAAACTAAGACTGCGTAAGTTAAAGAAAACTGAGAGGTTAAAGAGATATAGAAGTATTAACCGAAACAATCCCTCTTCCAGAACCACATCTTTTCATTGTTTGCCCCAATAAATAAGTGAGTCGTTGTTGAATTAATAACATCTGGCAACCTGGAAGCTAACATTATTTTATCCCAAATTAACTTATAAAATATAATACTCCTTCCCACAGTACTAAAGTAGATCGTAATTGCTTGCTCGATGGCCGTAAAATCACGTCCAGTGAATATGTATACCGATGACTAAGCAACGCTTAAAATGAAACACGACAAAAAATTGGAACTTTATTTCGTAAAGAAAGTATTAGTCGTAAGTAAATAAGTAAAAAAATGTACATATATATAAAAGCGGGCTAATACGCAAAATATAAAATCTACACAAAGTTTAGCGTCACTACCACAAGTAGTATTCGCAAGGCATTTGCTACAAGATATATGTCAATTCGCCATTTTCCGATATGTTAGTATGACATTTTGCTGACAAATTTTCCAAGTGCTTGACTTGGATTTCCGAGTTCCATTTCTTTAGAGGTGAACAATCAATACTCTTTCGAACCCTCTATCCGCTGATACTAATAAACGAGGTGTCAATCTCGTCTAAACTACCAGACTCGATCGTCTGACAGCGACATCATTATGAGTCTTTTCTGCTGATTTCTTTAAAACCCAAACAGAATTCATGTAGAATAATTTCTAAAATTAGGTAAAGTTTTATCAAAATAAACATTTGGGAGTTCTCGATCCTTCAATTCTTGGTTTTCCTTCAAACAATATTCTTTCAAACAGCTCAAATATTTTTAAGTGAACAACTATAAATAGAAATTCATAAATCTATAAGCAGAAATGCTATACGAGTGCAAATATATTGTCTACAAGCATAAAATAAAAATAGTCGAGAAAAAATTTACACAAAACAAATTGATTAATGAAAGAGAGAACCAGGATTATTTATGATATAGATTTCTTTCAAATAAATAAAAGCCCAATTCAAGTATGATTTATGATCCCTCTTCTGTAACCAAATCTATATATTATGTAAAAAGAACCGAATACATATACAATATATTCTCTTTAAAGGATAGTCTGCTCCACCATGATTTCCTCATAGCCTTCAGGTGCATTATACGAAAACAGTCGAAACGCAACGTCCAAAATTGCATTATCACCAACATAAACAATAGGATAAACCTGCAATCCATGCAACATTTCAATCGTTACAGGGGAAAAGTGGAAATTGCTGTGATTTCCCAACAAATCTGGATCATTCAGTGCAATCAGTCTCCGATTAATAAACAAGCCAAATATAATCCATTCTGTCACAGAAGAGACTGCCACCGGATAATTTTGCTCAAGCCGGTAAACAGGTAGCATTTTTTAAAGGGTTTTCATGAAACTTGAAAATATAGACTTCAGTGCGTTCCATCATTACCTGATTGTTACCACGGCTACATAATGATGGAATAGGTTACTTCATTTTCTATGAAAAAAATGCGCTTACCTGTCCTTTAATGTTGGAGATTGACAATGGCAATAATACACCATTTTTGTAAAACTTGAGTTCTACATGATCGAATGCAACGCCCTGAAATTTCTTTTTTAAATCTCTCAAAAAAAGGGAATTATTAAAATGAAATTCAGTATTACAAATAATTAACAAAAGTAATGGAATAAATACATACAATGCAGTCACCCTCATCGATAGATTCATCTACCTTCCCCAATACTTCACCATTTGCTACCATTTGTCCATCCTGTCTCAAAATCCAACAGTTCGCAGTTACTGGCACCGAATTCAAAACTGCCGACCGCATCGCCAATCCGATGCCCCATATCCCCAAAAAAGAATTTTTTTCCTTTTCGTAAGCAAAAATTCACCACCAAAAAAAAAGAAAAGATAAACATAGTGTCATAAATTCACACTTAATTCACAATTAAATCTAGATTTTGGAATAGATTAAACTACGATTTTAAGTCATGAATTCTTCTTTATATCAGTATATTTTCATTCAACGAAGAATGAATGATTACACATCTGGACATTTATTTTTCCAAAGTAAAATAAATGTCCAAATGCACATGAAAAAATGTGAAAGCTGGATACCAAACCTCAATCTTAATCCATCTAAACGAAAATGAAAAATAACAAGTTAATAGTTACTCAAGATGCTCCAAGGTTCAATTATAACCATTGATTCTGCAAACTAAAAAAAAACTAAAATTGAAAACAAAGAAAAAGATAACAGATTTTAAGTAACACGGACAAGAGAGTAAATATTAAATAACGTACCAGTTTGCTGAATACTGACTTGGAAATAAGCTTTATTTTGCACGATCGGAACGGTACACAGAGCTGCACCTGAACCGCAAATTCGCTGACCGTTTTTCAGCAGCACCACATCGTCACCTATATTCCGAACATATGAAGAAATGAAAAACTATGTGATGAATTGTCCAGCTACAACGAGTACCAACCCAAAAAGTTAAGTACTACATAACTTTAAAATGGGGTTAAAATCAAAATTATTCCGAAGAAAAATGCGTAATAAAGAGATGAAGAGAAATAATGAAGAGATCTACGACAGTCAACTCTAAACATACTTATCTTTCATGCTTTAACTAATGTATTTTGTCACAGTTGAGCAAATGTATAATCTGTATTCCTCAAAATTTTTTAATCCAGTCTTTTTTTATGTCGAAGTATCTTTTTTTCCAATGCAAAAAACCAGATATCAGAGACTTAAGTACAAAATAACGAACAGTAACTTGAAGATCTAATCAATTCTTCATCAAAGTAGTTGATTCGAACTGAAAATCATGCAACTAGCTGTTGTGTCATCAAATAACGTTGCAAAGTATCATTTTCTATATCAAAATTATGAATTTTTGAATCGATAAATAACTCTCTCGAAATAATGAACCTTCTACTCAATCATACTTCCCTGCACTATTACAAACATTTGTTATCAAACTGGAATCATATATTGATTAAATTTTGGTCAATAATAGTTCACGACTTGTCAGTATTCACTTTGTACGAAGAAAGCTACTTCAAAGAAACCATATTGTATTTAAGTTGACATTTGAATAAAGTACTAAACATGTTAACTGATTGCTGGTAGGAGGTAATAACGTTATCATTAATATCTGATTAAAATGATAAATGTTTTCAGTAACCAATCAAAACATCGAAAAACATTTAGCTTACCCATGAACACTGTATCCAATCTCACGGAATGTGGTTCACTTTGAAAATGGGTATTGTTCTGAGTGACCGAAAAGCTTGGTCCTTGTACACACTCCAAACACATCCGTAATGGTGGAAAACAGCTATCAAACATTATCTGACTGCAAACTCTAAGAAGAGTAATTAATAAACGAATATAATAACTGAGACAACAAATAATTGGAAAAATATTGATTCATTATTGATTAACTGAAGTTATCGCAGTGTCATCAATTAAATGACGTTTCAAGTATTGCCAAATAGATAAAAGTTATGATTCAATGGTGTCATTCAAAATCCATTTTGACCAAAAAGTGATTAATTACCGCCACTGAAAACCTTTACCCTTTTCCAGTTATTTTTTGAAGACACAAAAAATGTCATTTACGATTTCCAGAAATGAATCAAATGAAAGAGGTTAGCCATAGAGTGAAGGAATGCCAAGCCTGATAACTATTAGTATCAAAAGCCATGTAGTCTACTATTGGCTCTATTTGTAACAACAACACATTGGGAGTGTATGAGATGAAACATAGAGAGAATTTGAGAGAGTTTTTGAACAATTAGGAAAATAACAGCACGTGATGCATACGTAAGGGAAATTTATCTAAAGAAATAGTACTGCTATGTCGGAGAGTCATAAGAACGCGATTTTATTGCTAACAAAAGGATGCGAAGTTAGAGATTGAGAGTGTGACATTCGATAAATAGTGATTGGCTACTTTTACTGATAGTACTGGTCAATTATCTCTTACTCATTTGGTGCAATGGTGATTTTCCGGCAATTATATATTTTCCCGTAACAGTATGTATCGTAATGCCGAGTTTTTCCGGAATATCGAACTTCATTGCAAGCAATCTTGATGAAAATTTGTTCAGTAACATGCGATTTATTATCACTAAAGTGAAAAATTTTGTATTTTCGGAAATATTTCACTCATCGTGACACTAGAATTGCAAGGTTTTCTGTACTTAAATTACTTCAAATTTGGATAATTAAACCATTAGATGATAGGAAACAACAGTATAATCGTTGTTATAATCGAAATAATAGTATAATCGCACAATATAATCATTAAAAATTACGAAGCAAAAATTAATGCGTAAAGCTAACTCCATAAACGTCGCAGCGAGATAATTTCGAGGACACCAATTTGGAGAATAAAAGGAAAGAAGAACGTTCTGCTATCTGTAATGTTTATATAAACATCCTTTAAGGATTGATTTTACAATAATTAGCATCTTTATTAGCTTATGTTAATAAAGCATAAATAATTAATAAAGTTAGCGTATATTAATGTAGAGCTTTTTGGGTACATTGCTAAACAATGAGGACATATACAATTCTATGCAATGATAGCGTTCTTACTCATACATACAAGTTTAATCTTAATCATGATTCATCATGGTACATGCAAATTAGTACATCTTAATACATTTACTTATGATTCTTCTTTATTACAGAACTTCCTAAACAAAATTCGCGACAATTATTGTTCATTTCAACTTGATGTCTTAAAAGCTTATCATATGATATGTTCTGATCCGTTGATACCAAAGCCGATAATCTTCCTGATAAGGAACAATGTCTAGCAGTGACGAATCGAGTTATTTAAACTATTTATACTCAAATAATTAGTGCATTATGCTAACGGATGCCATTTTAACCGTAATATTATCCCAATAATTTCCTTTTTTATACACTTCTTCCAACTTAGATCAGGAATACAACGGTAAGTTTGCAAAAATAAAGGTGTGATAACTGGGCGAGTATTTCCACTTCTCTTGATATTATAATAATTAGTTTTCGGAGTTGCAGTTGCGAGAGATCTATAGATGATAGGAATAATGAGAATTTTCGGATGTATTCTTTTTTTAATTTTAGTCTGGTAGAGGTGTTGCTATGATGTTTGTTGTAAAAAGTACGGAAAAAAAGGAAGCAAAAAGCTGTATAGTTTTTGAGATAAAAATTTTTAACTGCATATTTAAATATTGGTGTTTCCTGAATTTTCTCCTTCCTCTGCAATCGGAACTGATAACATAACAAATTATGCAAAAACAGAGATGAAGCGTTTTTTTTCGAGATTTTCAACATACCCTATTATAGCTTATAGGAGGATGTCGCCGATTTTCTTCAACCGTAACAAAAAGTGAGGGTTCTTTCTACCTACCTCTTTAGTTGGTAGTACCTCAAACTTGGCTAATTAAACCTTTATGAGTTGATTAATACAGAAACGAATTCAACAATTATAATATCAGTATGAACAAAGGGAAACCAAAGACCGAATGACGCCCGTTATCGTCTTCCCAAGTGACCTGTTGGAACACGCCTTTCGAAAATGATTTGATGCTCAGGATCTTCTTCTTCCTCGAATTGGGCGGATCCTTGGATAGTTCTGAGGTCAGTTCCGAGGTCAATTCTGAGGTCATTCCTTAGGTCACAAGAATTATTATTATAGAACATAAAATAGTGGATGCACAATATTAGTTCACATTGCACAGTATATCTATACATACAATACATTATACCAACAGTATCAAGGCAATTATTGGTTCACTGCTTCTTCTCGGGATTTTAGTGACAGAGGATATCCCTCACAGTTACAATGTCAACTTCTTTTGGTTTTAGAAATTTAAAAAATTTGCAGCTTGAATTGCCTACTATTTTGTCTCCCACCAAACAAAAGAAATTATAATCATAGCGAATCATAACTTATTGTAAAGAAATAAGCATGAAAAAGCTGACTTCACTACGATTTCACTACGAGAATAATTTGAAACAGACATTTAATTATTGCAATTTTTAAGAAGTATTGAACTTTTCTAATGATTTTAAATACTGTAAAGATAGCGCACTAAAAAATAGTAAATTCTGCATTTTCAAGAGGATTGTACCTACTTGTGGATGTATTAATTTAATTCGTTGATTGCAGTGTTATTTCGATAAATAAATTGAACAACAGTTGTAAAGCATTTTTAGTATTATTTAAATAATGCCCCAAACATCTTTTAAACAGTTAAATAATTGATCATAGCGTTAAGATTCTACAAACAATGTTTATAATTAGCCATGCTTTTTACACGTCATTCATTTCATTTCGTTCGTCTCTTGACGTGAATGTGAATAACTTTTCCGATATGTTTATTATCATAGTATATATGGCGGTTATATTTTGGATTAAAATTAAAGAAATTGAACTTCTTGCTGAAATCGGTTATAAAATTGAACATATCTTTGAAATAGGATGGTCTAGACAAACTGTATTGATCGATGTCATTCAAGAGCAAATATGTGCTTGCGCAAAATGTCTTCTTTTAAGGTTTGCCAGGAATTTTAGTTGTCTAGGATTTTCGGACTTTCTGAACGTATATTTTTCGACGTTATCGCTGGTGACGGTGCTCCATTTAAATGCATTAAAAATTTCATCACATAAAGTTGCAGTCGCAATGGAAGGAATGAATACGGATAGAATCTGCAAGAGGAAATTGAAACGATCATTTTAAACATTGAATTTCAGGTATCCTGGATAGGATCAGAATACTGACCACTCGGTGCTAAATTAGATTTACACTTATATCTTGAACCTAGCTAGTACTTTTAAGATTTTCATCATTTTTGGTTTATTGCAAATATAATAATGATTACGTAATTAACACATCCCAACCAATTCGATACAGAAGTTTTGGTCGCTTCGCAACGATTGCTTCGTAATAAGAATCGATAACCCATGTTGAATCTTTTTCCACAATATTCTGTTGTAGTTCTTTTGTAAATTCTTTTGCTGAAAATTGTCAAATATATAATAGATTACAATAGTCAGAAATTATTTTGATCCGTACTTTATAAATTTAATCATGTGTTGAAACTTATATAAAAGCACAACAGAATACCTTTGTCGTTATAGTTGTATCCATATTCATCACGCAATTTTTGTGGTGCTCGGTACCACACCTTGTTCAACATTTTAATCAACCTCTCAGAACTCTGCATTCCGCTTTCAAAGGATCCCGGTATAATTTCTATCACATTCACCCCATATGGTTGCAGTTCATGCCTTCAATTCATTTTCTAAACATTTGCAAACTTCATCTGAAAGTTTCAAGATCCAGTTGAATTGAAAATGATGTAAAAAATGGATAATTTATTACCTAATAACCATAGAATAAGCTTGGACAGCAAACTTTGAGCAAGAATAAGGACCATTGCCAGCTGTCGGGAATAATGTGATGGCACTGCTACATATCACTATTCGACCTCTAAGATTTGTTTTTCAGAAGAAAGGCGCGAATGAAACGAAATTTAGGATAATTAATAATACATGGTAATGTGAAACTCAGTTTTGGTAGCAAATATAAAAGGAAGAATGAACGGAAACAGATTCATATCACAATTATGGCCTATCTTTTAAGATAAAATAAATAGCTTCAAAAAAAGCTTATTAAATATACGAAATGATTGAATTTCACAAAGTGGACAAATTTCCTCGAAATCATTCATGAAAGTCTGTAATTTTGCAAATTATCTTGAAAAATCGAGAAATTGGAGCGACAGTACGGGCACGGTTGAAACCAGAATCAGTAATTCAATCGCAGAAACTATTCTTAATTTCATAATTGTTGTTCGTTCTTCGAATTTCACAATTGCCCAATTGTTATTCGTTAAGCATGCAATGAAGATGTGCATCATTATAACCTGGATTTCTTGATAAGATCACGAAATGTTTGTGTTACTCGTATCACACCACATGTATTCACATCCCATACTTCTCTGTAATCGTCCAAAGTCAAAAAATCATCGTAAAAGATATTGCCTCGCACTCCGGCATTATTGATTAGCGCATGAAAAACTGAAAATATCTTCAAACAAGCATATCTTCATTTTCAATATTTTAAGTAAATTTTTCAAATTTCTATTTCTTTTTATTTTCTTACATAAACAATGCTTGCGATAAAATGACCCGCCATACAATGCTAATGTAACCCTGTGAGAATCATCTCTGAATTCCATTTCATCAAATTCCGATTCAAGTATTTATTGAGTGTAAAGTAGAATATTTATCTAATGATTAACTACAGAAATATTTGTTCGTCACAAACAAAGAATGTTCGTTACAAAAACAGTCACTCATGTCAAGAATGTGAACCGAGATTCTTTTCTCTTAAAACGTTGTCTACAATTCTTCGGGATTTCCGAACACTCTCGTCATCGGTCACATCCATTTGAAATGCATACAGTCGACCTTGATTGATTGAACTGTTGCTTTCTTCCAATTCATTCACACTCTGCAAACTTCTAGAACTAATAACAGAGTACATTGAATGAAATAAATATTACACTTTTAATTGGCGTCTTTTTTCCGTAACTCTCTGTTATTTCTTTATTTCTTTCTTTTCCTGCCTTATTTCTAATTGTTTTTCAATAAAACCGAAGAAATAAATTGAAATGATTAGTAAATTTTTAAAATAGTTTAAGAACTTACAGTGGCACGGCGACATCCTGCAAAAACTATTAGTCCATTCTGAAGACATCGTTTCACTAAATCTCTGCCAAATCCTTAAAATGATTTCTCCTTTTTCAATCTTTTTGTGATTCTTTGTCTATTTCAAAATTTTTTTAGCCATCACCCGTAAATCATTTCCAAAATCCTACCCAATGTTTGGATCACTCTCTGTACCACAAAAATCCTCACCGCTTCCACATCCAGTGATCAGTACCGCTTTCCTGTCAATTTCACCACTTGTCAATTTACGGCCCAATAATTCGTAAATAGCATACAGCAGCAGTGGTAGTATAATAAATAGAATTGTAAATAAAAACATCTTCTATTAATGTCGCGAAAAAATCGTCTGAGTTTATAAATACTTCGAAACAGATGAAATTACGAACACCTTAAAAGGTAAGGAAGGTATTTCGAATGAGATAGGTATTGTGAATGATTAAATGAAGAAATTACTTTTGCATTCTTTACGGCTTTCGTTTCAGTAAAAAATTTCCACCGTAAAATGATTGAAAAGTAGGTTGCATTCTGACCTGATCAGACCCTGAATTAGAGAGCCTGATCAGATTAGAAGTTTAAAACTGTTTGGCGACAAGCAAAGAGATGCAAATAACAATGCACATTTGGTATTTTGGTGAACGAATTTGGAAGAAGTACACTGAAAACCAAAGGTCATTCTACGACAGCTTTTGTTGCCCCGCTACCTT